AATAATTTCAAAAGGAAATTGATTAGGCATGAGAGAAAAACTTGCAAGGGTATGGATATAGAGCAGGGAATGGGACTGATTAGATCATTCCATGGAGAGCCAGCATAGACTTGATAGACTGATTGACCTTGTACCATTAATATTTGGGCAAAGTGAGTGATAAAGATTATAAGTAGCTGGAACCCCTGCAGTTATTTGGTGGGGTTCCACTAGTCACTGCCTACCAACTTGAGAATACCCTGCTTATAATCCTTGCTCATTTTGCTTCCTGCTACGAAACTATTTCTTCATCCATGCTTATATATTATTCCCCACAACTCCATAGACCATTGTGTATTAGCCTTTTGTTTGGCCCTTTATGAAATATCTTCTGGAAATCCAAATATATTACAACTATTGGTTCTATTTTAACTACTGTGCTAGTTACATGCTCAGAACACCTTTGCTCATACTGCAATTTTCTGATTTCTTTATAATTGGTTCTCAGAAAATTGCAGAATCAATGTTAGGTTAACTGACCCGTAGTTCCCCTTTTCCCCTCCCTTCTTGAATAATAGAATTTCATTTTGCTAATAGTTAATCCATTAACACTTGAGCTGTTCTAGGAAGTTTTAGAAAAATCATGAACAATGCATCAACTATCACTGTAGCTACTTCCTTTTAGAACCATGGGAAATGAACCATCCCATCCTGGGAATTCATTCGCTTTTAGCCATGTAAGCTGCTTCAATACTTTTCACATGTTGATATTAAATATCTAACTAACTCCCATATACTTATTAACTCCTTTTTATTTCCAGTACTTATTTTGTATCACTTTGCTGTGAAGATAGACACAAAAACATTGTTTTGTTCTTTGCCATATCCTCATCTTGCAAGGTGATTTCTGTGTTCGTCTTTTAAAGGGTCAATGTTGACTTTCGCAACACTTATTCTCTGTCCTCCACTCTAAGATTCCACACAACCCAACTGCAAAACAAGACAACTTTTTGGCTCAGCTTCGTTGGTTTTTAAAGTACGATCAATCCTCAGGCTGTCATTTTTCACAACATTACGTAGTGCTCGATCTAATGCCACCCTCATTTCCTTAGGAAAACACAGATAATTGGAGTATGTAATAAAGGCAACATAATAATTGTGGGACACTGGTTCACATAGGTTGGATCATCTTTGTTTTTTTTAAAAATTGAACATTTTGAATTGTTTCTTTCTTTCCTGCCAAACCAAATCAACTTTGGTACTTGTATAATTCTTCATACTTGTGTAACTGAAATTGGTTGGAACTAGAGTTTGTCACTTTGAAATTTAGTATGGAATTCTAATGTAATGCGATCACGTTCTAGTCAGTGAATTTTTAAATTTTGTAACTAATATTTAAGTCCTATCATGCAAATGAAACCAGGCTAAGAAATAAGAATGAGAGTAGGCCCTTCGGCTCCTTGAAGCAGCTCTGCCATTCAATAGGGGGTCATGGTTGATCGGACATAACTAATGTCAACTTTCCTGCCCTTTCCCCATGACCTTTTGATTCTGCTACTGATCAAGAATCCATCTTTGCCTTAAGCAAGCTGCCCCAACAGCTCTCTGTGACAGAGTTCCAAAGACTTCCAACCCTCAAGAAATTACTTGTCATTACAATACGAAAGTTAGTGCCACTTTTATTCTGAGGGAATGAACTTTGGTGCTAGACTCTCCCATGAGGGGAAACATCCTCTCAGCATTTACCCTGTCAAGCCCCGTTAAAAATGGTGTTTCAGTGATCAATGAAGGCAGATGTGCCAAACACTGCCTTTACCACCTTGTCTACCTGCAACACCACTTTCAAGGCACTGTGCCTGTGCGACACTTTCCAGAGTCCTATCATTAAGTGTAGAAGTCCTGCCCTGGTTTGCCTTACCAAAATACAACACCTCACATTTATCTAAAATTAAACGCCATCTGCCACTCCTTGGCCCATCTGATCAAGATCTCTTTGTAATCTTAGATAACATTCTTCACTGTCCACTACACTGCCACTTTCGGTGTCATCACCATCATCATAGAACCCCTACAGTGTAGAAACAGGCCCTTTGGCCCAACAAGTCCACACCGAACCTCGGAGCATCCCACGCAGACCCCATCCCCAGATAATCCACCTAATCTACACATCCCTGAACACTATGGGCAATTTAGCATGGCCAATCAACCTAGCCTGCACATCTTTGGACTGTGGGAGGAAACTGGAGCACTTTCAGCTAGCGGGTAGTGACTTTATGGAGGCCAAGAGATTGAGTTTATTTAAAGACATGGATAGGTTCTTAGTAAGGGGATCAAAAGTTATGGGGAGAAGGCAGGAGAATGGGTTCAGAAATATAATCGGCCGTGATCAAATGGCAAAGCAGACGTGATGGGTTAAAGGGCTTAATTCTGCTCTTGTATCTTATGGTCTCAGGCTCAAAACTGAGGTGATGATTGCAACTCAAGGTATACATTGCGAACTATGTAACTTCTAGTCTATCTAAACTCTTGACAGTTATTCCACGTGCAGTCTAATCTCAGTGGGCTGTAACTTCTGGTTCTTCAGCCATTGTATCTGTATCAGTGACACACTTCTGTCAAGCTTAAAAATCAACAGGATATCCATTGACACCAGTTCTGTGAAACTGGAATCTTTGTGATCACAGATTTCCCGTATAAATGCCTTGGTTGCTCAACCATACGGAGTTCTTTGTATATGTAGCTTCCTCCTTTTTGCAGTTCTATGACTGTTCTACATCTGCTTACCTTCCGCTAGGGATCAGTAGTTTTACTGATGTGGAATCCTTTTGTCATGGCTGGGCATAGTTTATATCCGATTGTTTGCTGATCCACAGCACTGAAACTGACTCACTTCACATTTCCTTTTTTAAAAAATGTGGTTATTTATTCTTATTACACTAAAGATGTTTTAAATCTGTATTATCTCAATGCTGTTTGTAATCTGCTGTCTTTAAGTTTTCATTCAATCAATGCTGTTTAAATTCTGTGAGGTCTTTCAAACTCTTAAAATTATGCTGTTTTAAATTCTTCCAAGAAAGCCTGTTAAATACCTGTTCAGCTTTGAATTTTCCTGTTTTAAATCATCAAAATTGTAACTTCTCAACTTTTTCAGGTTTTACCTGCCTGCTACAGTCAAGATGGTATTTTCCCACTTTATCCTGAATAAAAAGTGGATGCTTTCCTGCCTTTCACAATCTAATATACAAAGTTAGTTAAGTAAATCCGTGTGGAAGGAGGCCATTTGGCCCATCCAGTCTGCACCTACCTTCTGAACAGCATCCCACCCTATCCCAATAACACCACACTTACTGCGGTTATCCTATTTAGTCTACACATCCGTGAACACTATGGGTCAATTTTACCAAAGTCAGTCCACCTAATCCCTACATCTTTGGACCGTGGGAGGAAACCAGAGCAACTGGAGGAAACCCACGGAAACACTGGAAGAACGTGTAAACGCTGCACAGATAAAAGGCGGGAATCAAAAATGGGCCCCTAGCGCTGAGAGGCAGCAGTACTAACCACTGAGCCATTACGTCGCCTAAATCCTCTTACATTTTTATTTTTAAAAATACAGTTCCTTTGGCTACTGCCTTAATAAATTTTAATCAAAATTACAACTTAAATCCTCAGTGTTCTGACCTTCTAAAAATCTTAAAATTGTTCAAGTTTTCTTTGTTGGTTAGGTATTTACTTCAAATGTTATACGTTGTCCCTTTTTTCTAATCACCTTGCAGTTTGAGGCCTTTCGCTGCTGCAACCTCTAGAAAAAGTAATTTTCTGGTCCTTACTGTTCCCCTTGCAGTGTGCTTCATCAGGCCTATTCACAATGGTGGTGATGGTCATTTTAAAGAATAATTGACTTATTTATTGTCACTTGCATTTTCCAGTGAATAATACAATAAAATACAGTGAAAAGCTTCAACGTTTGCCACAATCCAGAGATAGAGACATTTTGATTAGTTTAAGAATAAGGATGAAAGCTATAACTGAAAGAAAGTGTGTGTCCTGAACTGGCTCACCAGTGATGCCTGTGCCACCACCCCCCCCTCCATCACCTGCACCAGACCCAGCAACCTGGGAGACTCCACTCTTTAGACACACTCTCTCCACTGCTGGGACCACCACTGACACCAATGCCAGGTCCCATGCTGAACCCACAACCAGGAGTCTCAGCTCTGGGCATACTATACTGATGCCACTGCATTGCTGCCTTGCCAATGCCAGGACTCCCCACCCTGGGCCAACTGCAGTCAGGAGTGCCTGACTCCACTGCCAGACCAGATCACTGCCATCCTGCCAAAAGTCCCACACCAACTACCCTCTGAGATGTCACCTTGCCGTCACCTTGCCGTCACTGCCATCTTGAAAAGTCTGCCACTGTGGGTTCCAACACTGGAGGAGCTTTGCCACCATCAGCCCTGAACGCTGGGAGAATGTCCCCACTGCCTCCAGTCACTGTGAGGAGCCACATCTGCTGCCACCTCCGACCACCAGGAGTAGCCACCATTTCATGTACAGCCCACTCTGGCTGCCACACCCATTTCACCAACTAACTCACCATAAAAGGCTCCAAGGAAAAAAACCACACAGAAGCAGATGACTCTTTTTCATTATCTATCTTTCCCTTCTGACATTTACAAACTTTTTGTAAATTTTTCTCTAATTCTGTCAGGTCTTTGACTTTATTTCTGGAGCCTTTAATGGCTCCATCCAAAGACTCTTCCTGTTCCCACTATGGCTAGCTTTCAATCTATTCTTTGCCCTGCATTATTTTTCCTGCATCTGCTACTAGCAACAAGATGAAGGTCATCTTCTGAAGTGTTGTTTTTTGCCCCACTGTTGCTCCCATCTGTCAGATGTTGCAGTTTGACTGTTGTCTTTTTTTTTTAAAAGTAGTAACTTTCCTTAATTGTATATTAATTTGTCTGTAGTTTCTTTTCTGAAGGCTAATTTGAATTCAAATCCACACAGCTACTCACATTGTTATTTCAGATATCTTGGCTGCCAGTATGTTGTATCTTCTGGTTCCAACCACTTTTGTTGTGTTGTTTAGGTAGTTTCCAATCTGAAATTCTCCTTTCTATTCTTTTAAAAGAATGTAAAGTCATAGTAGAGGACTATAGAGCTGCTGTCTTTCATATTAGAGAGAGAGACACAACAGGTGGTGAGGTTAATCTGAAGGTTACCACACCTCAGGTGAGTAGCGAGGTTGAGAAGGTGGGACCTTCATGGTGACTTTAACCAATACAGGAATTGAACCTATGCTATTGAATTGCATTGTAACCAGTCATCCAACCATTTGAGCTAACTGACCAATCCTCTTTTCTGTTCTATCACTATGGGTCTGTCTAATTAACAGTGTTAGAGGACACTCCAGATCCTTAACAAGAATAACAACCTGTCTTGCAGAACAAGGTGTACTGTATTGCATGATAGCAATTGGTTCAATAAATAATTAGTTAGATATAATGAGAACTATCAGGAGCCAAGTGTATCACATTTGTCTCAATTAGAACCTTTTGCAAGACCACCCATTTCTCTATCCAGGGATTGTGTGACATCAGAGGGGTGGAGGTCAATACAGGTCAATGTTAGCTCTTTCAGAACCTTTATTTCAATAATGGTAAAATCCAATTTGAAACTTCTTAGCAGGTCTCTGAATCTAAATATACAAGTTCTCACACAATAGAGTGCAGTCAGGTGACTAAAAAAGGCTTGATTTGAAGTGATCAATTGATAGAATGTTGTAATACTTGAGAAGAAAAAGGAAAAAATGTTGGAAATCAGAATAAAGACTGAAAATTTATGTAATCTATTTTGGAAAAAGCAAAATAATTTGACATTTAGAATAAGATCCTTCAGAACTATCATTTTTTTTTTAACTGTATAGATTTAGCACTAAATAGTTGCTTGTTAAAGTTTGTTATTGCTAGAGTCACTCTTCTACCAACGACTAGGACTTTCACCAGAATAAATTGGGTTGAATCACTTCCTTTTCCTACATACTATTGGGATGGTTTTAGTCTCCTTCACTATGAAAACTGAGCAAAATATTAATTTGGTGTCTCTCTTCCATTTCTTTGTTTTGCATTATTAACCCCAGTCTTGCCTTTTAAAAGGGATCAACCTTCACCTTAGCTGCACTTTTCCTTATATACTTAAAGAAGCTTTTGCTATTCATTTTTATATTTTGCACTAGTTTTATTTCATAATTAACCTTTGCTCTTCCTTTTTATGACATTGGTACCCCTGCGTTGGTCTTTATCAGTTTCCCAATCCTCCAGCCTGCCACTGACCTTTTGCAATATGGTGCGCCTTAGTTTTTGCCCTTTATGGTATCTTTCTCTTCCTTGCTTAGCCGTGGATGCTTTTACCCCTTTTGCATTTCAGAGTGAAAGAAAGATTGTATTTTAGTTGGGAGAATTGAGTCTCCTTAAATGTCTGTCACTGTTGATCAACTGTCTTATCTTCTTCAACAAGAGAGAATCTTTTCTGTATAGATCCAGCATTACCTTCTGCAAATCCCCGTCATCAACATCCTGGGGATTACAATTGATCTGAAACTTAACAGCTCTAGCTGCTTCATGGGCACTACCTCCGGATTGAGGATGACTTCCTTCCACTCCAATCTGAGTTCTGAGATGGCTGATTAAGTCCAATTCATGATATCCAGACACTTCTATGCTCAACCTTTGGTGGGCCAGATTTTAAATATGATAATTTGGAACAAAATTAATAGTCACTGACAAATATGAGCTGATGAAGGAAGTCAGCATGGAATTGTTGAACGCAAATTATGTTTAACTAACTTGCTGAAGTATTTGATGAGACAATGACAATTGTTAAGGGAAATGCTATTGATGTAGTATATGTGGACTTCTAATAGGCATTTGGTAAAGTGCTGCACAACAAACTTGTGAACAAAATTCTAATGGAATAAATGGAACAGTAACAACATGATACAAAATTGGCTGCATGATAGGAAACAGAATAGCAGTTTAATTTTTTTTGGACTGGAGTAAGGTTTATCCTGGAGATTGGTATTCTGATCTGTGCTCTTTCTGATATTGACAACCAAGACCTTAATGTATAGGATGCAATTTCAAATTTTGTGGATGGTATAAAGCTTGAAAATATTATGAATTGCAAGGAGGATTGAGTAGAATATCAAAAGGATGTACACAGGTTGGTGGAATGGGTCGACCAAATTCAGATGAATTTTAATGCAGAGATTTGTGAAATGAGTCAATTTGATGGGAAGAATACAAATGCAAATTTATTCGATTTTAAAGAGAGTACAGGAGCAGAGAAACCTAGCTGCATATGTGCATAAGTCATTGAAAATGGCCAGACAGGTTAAGAATATGTTTACTGAAATATTGCTTCCAGGGTTTTAGCAATGGTGCCATAGAGTTATACAGCACAAATGTAGGCCCTTCGGCCCAACTCATCCACGTTGACCAAGTATCCAAAACTGAACTAGTCTCAGTAAAAACCGAAAGAACTGCGGATGCTGTAAATTGGATCAAAAACAGAAGTTGCTGGAAAAGCTCAACAGGTCTGGCAGCATCTGTGGAGGAAAAAAAAAATTAGAGTTAACATTTCGGGTCCAGTGACCCTTCCTCGGACCCAAAAGGTTAACACTGATTTTTTTCTTTCCACAGATGCTGCCAGACCTGCTGAACTTTTCCAACAACTTCTGTTTTTTGAAATAGTCTAATTTGCCTGCATTTGGCCCATATCCCTCTAAACCTTTCCTATCTAAAAACCTGTCCAAATGTCTTTCAAAAATTGTCATTGTAACCGCCTGTACCACCTCATCTGACAGCTCATTCCATACATACACCGTCCTCTGTGTGGAAAAAGTTGCCCCTTGGGTCCCTTTTTAAATCTTTCCCCCCTCACCTTAAACTTATGCTGTCTAGTTTTGGACTCCCCTATCCTGGGGAAAAGACCTTAACTATTTACTTTATATTTGCACGTCTTCGTGAGGAAGGCAGCAACGTGACACTTGATGAATTGATCCTTCAGAGGACAGTGTGGACCGTGGTGGGCTGAATGCCTCCCATGTAGTCCAAGAAATCGTAAAATGGTTACAGCAAAGCCCGAGTTAGGAGTGTGACAGAATACTCTCCATTTGCCTTGATGAATGCAGTTCCAACATTTCAAAAACTTTATCACCCAGAGCAAAGCAGTCCATTTTGGGTGGGCAACAAATGCTGACCCTGTCAGCAATGATATGAAAGAATTAAAATAATCAATATGTTTAACTTGTGGCAGGTCTAACAACCACCAGTTAGTTAAGATATGGGGATGCTACAAAAGCTGTGTTCTATCTGATAAATTCAACTCCGAAAGGAACAAAACTTGATTGGAAGCAAAGGCAAAAATGTATAGAAGCTACTTCCCTGATGGTGAACTGTGGTTTTCTTTTTGGAAGGTAATCTTTACAGCAACCTTTAGAAAATATTTTAAAAAAAGCAAAATGAAAAATTGTGACTCTGTCACAAACCTGGTTCATACAATGCCTATTCATAACTCTGAAGAATTTTTAAAAACCTGCTTTAAAAAGTGAATCAAACTGAACTGATTTTGTATAAATACAATGATAAATTGATTTTTTTTTGTTCTAATGGAGATAGGGAAGATGACCATCCTGGATACAAAGAGGATTTTTGTTCCAGATGTTTGTTCAATTTTGATACAAAGTCTTTGTAAAATGTGACCAGTATAAAAAGAGTTGTTTGATTCTATTCCAACACTGTATACTGACCTGAACTTCAGAACACCTAGCTAACTGAACCACCATGTAATTTTGCAAATCCCACTTCAGCCAATTGTGTCCACTCTGGGGCGCAACATTATGCTGTCTGATGAGACTGCTTAAACCAGCGTGCGCTGTAATAAAGGCAAAATACTGCAGGCACTGGAAATCTGAAACAACCACTGAACTCTGAATGCTGGAGGAAGAAAAATCATATCGGACTCAAAACGTTAATTCTGTTTCTGTCTCCATGGGATGCTGCCAGATCTCCTGAGTTTCTCCAGTATTCCATGTTTTGTCTCAACTTGCACTTTATCTGCACAACCAACAGAGAGAGTGAGCAGTTCCAAACCAACTGGTTTGGATTCAAATTCTGGCCTTGAGTGAAAAGCAAATGTGTTAATGCGCAGTGCTATATAGTCCTCCATTTATTGCTGCAATTACACATTGTAACTGTAATTTTTAATTCTCTTATGTTAAAATGTTTTGTGTGGTATTTCATTTTGACAAATGGATAGAATATGAAACATTCATACACAATTTTTTTTGAATAGCTGTCATGGCTAGATTTTCTTTTGCTGTGACAATCTTTAAAAACATTTTATAGCATGTTTAAAAGAATCATCTGTGTAATTATAGGTGTGCATTAATGACAAACACCATATCCTTTTCATTGATTTTTTTTTTTTTCCTCTCTCTGCTGTCCAGCTCTGGAGTTGCCTTCACTTGGTTTTACTTCGCTATCCATTCATAAACAACTAATCTCTACCAGTGAGATAGCAAGAACTGCAGATGCTGGAGTCAGAGTCAATACAGTGTGGAGCTGGAGGAACACAACAGGTCAGGCAGCATCAGAGGAGCAGGAGAGTCGGCGCTTTGGGCCTATCCTCTTCGTCAGGATTGATGAAGGGTCTAGGCCGGAAATGTTGACTCTCCTCCTCTCATGTTGCCTGACCTGATGTGTTCCTCCAGCTCCGCACTATATTGACTAATCTCTACCAATGGTGACTCCCTTACTGTTACCTCTGGAATTTGCCAAGAATTTGTCCTTTGCCCTCTGCTAATCAGCAACTGCATGTTGTATGTATGCTAGCTGAAGATCTGATGTCAGGAGCCACATGTATGCCGATGTTAAACCATCTGTAGATCATCACCTGTTTCGATAACTTCACTGTCTTTGTCTTGTCAACCTGCTTGTCTATTATTCTGTCTGCGATGAGCTGCAATTTCTTTACTACTTAAACATTTGGAAAATTGAAGCTCTTCTTACCTTTCCAAACCACAATTCTTACTTTTTGCAAGAACACTTTTCAACATGACCTTATCAATGTTCCCTTGTATAATTTCAAAACTTAAGATTCTGAAAGGTCTTGTACAGGGTAAATGTTGAGAGGTTGTTTTCTGCAGGGAACATAGAAATAGGGAGCA